CGATTTTTTTAAATTTTACGTTTCCGAGTCATTGGGTTTTATTCATTAAAAGGGGGGATTTTCCAGTTTTCGGACAATAACTCAAAAATGCTTTCAGCAGTTTTTCGAAACTTTGGTGAATTGTTTATATCTATTGACGCAAGCTCCCTTTTAATTTTTATAAATTTCAGATTATACATTTCCGAGTTATGGGATATTATTCATAAAAAGTTATAAAGGAACATAACTGAAGAACGGTAAAAGTGACGCTATCCAAATTTGTACTTGATCTGAGTTTTGTGGTAATAAGTATTGTGTATAAGTTTCGAATTATTTGGCAATTCAGCAATTTTTCCATTTGTAGAGGGACATAACTCTAGAACAGTAAAAGTGACACCACCAAAATTCAAACTTGATCTGTATTTTGTGTTAATAAGCATGGTGTAGAAGTTTCATAACAATTGGTTAAGGCAAACTAAAGTTAGAGAACGGAAATGAAAAATTCAGCAATTGTTCCATTTGTAAAGAGGCATAACTCTCGAACGTTTACAGTGACGCCACCAAAATTCAAACTTGATCTGTGTTTTGAAGTAATAAACATTTTGTATAAGTTTCATAACATTTAGTTGAGGCAAACTAAAGTTAGAGAACGGAAACCAACTTCGGGACGGACGACGTACGGACGGACAAGGGTAAAACTTAATGCCCCCTTAACTACGGCGGGGGCATAAAAATGGGTGATTTTCCAGTTTTCGGACAATATGTTATGAAAGGATTTAGGACGTTATTCGAAATAATTAGAAATTAAAATCAAGGAGATATTAGTTAAACAAACAAATATATTTCTAGTTTTTTAAGATAGTGAAAAGTAAAATGGAATATAAATTTCAAATAATTCGTTGATACAAGAAGAAAATACATGAGTAAAATAGATCAAGATTCGTAAGAATAACGAACTTTATTTTAGATGCAAGATAGTCAGTAATAGTACAAAGTCAAGAACCTCATTAAATAAGTTATTTGGCACGCGTAAAGAAGGTTATTAGGTTGCCGGACAGATGTATGTCGAATTGCTATTACATCCAAGGTTATAACCATATTCTCAGAATCATGAATATTCAGTAATACATTAAGGCACACGAGAACGTTATTAACAACCAATCAAACAGCTGAGATACGAAGATTGATGTATACAAGATAATAATTAAAATTTAACAAATTTTTAATTATCTTTTATTATTAAGATCAGAAATTAAAATTCTTCCAAAAATATTATTCTTTTTAATTTTAGAAAACATAATTCTGATGCTTTTCAAAAACAAATAAATGCATTTTGCATATTATGAAGTAATAAATGTTTTGGCAGCAAATTCCATCGTTTGCAAAAGAAGCTCAATTTCGGCTGGGGAACAAGAATGTCGGGTATTCAATAGTGACTATAAAAGCAAATATAAGTCTACTGCCCGTACTATCCTTGTTCCTACCAGCAGATTGAGTTGTCTTATTTATTTCATTAAAAAGGTAGGTTATATACTGTTACTTAAACTTATTTAAAGAAAGAAGTTAATTGCTATATAATTCAATAAATATAAATATAAATATATATATTCAGATATAACATTTTAGTCATTGCGTTTCATGAGGTTATTCACTCATGTATAACAAATAGACTGAACGTAGTTTACAAGGTAATTCAAGCAATATTTGAAATAGAAATACATATGTTATTGTCAACTGATAATGTTATTTATTGTTAATCTGTATGATTTATGCACTGTGATATTTTATGATCAAAAAGAAAAGAAAAGAATAATTAAACTATCCTTGTTCCTACCAGCAAATTGAGTTGTCTTATTTTTTTCATTAAAAAGGGTCGGAAGGCGCGAGTCCCACTCTCGCTGCCAAGCCAGTCCATAACAACGACATGTAGTCCCCAGATGCCCAGACATCTTTCTACCTACAAGAACCGTAGCAGAACTTAACAAACGAGAGAAGGGAAATCACCATCATGTTTATCAATATAGAAGTCATAAAGCACAATGATCATAGTCCCACCTTAACAAGTGTTTCCCCTGTGAAGTATACAACAAAAAGGACCATAAAAACCTTCACAACAAATATCTTGAAAGTGCTTTGGTGACTGGTTTATATCTATTAAGATAACCTCCCTTTAGTTTTTCATAAATTTCTGATATAACATTGAGAAGTTATTAAACTTTATTCTATGAAAAAGCGACTGGCTAATCGTGTGCTCATGGCGCATCAGTTTATTACAGTTTATTCTTGTGTTGTGCTGTTACACTATTCACCCATGGTAGGGTTAGGGTCACAGACATGTTTAACTCTTCCACGTGCACATTCTTTATGTGCCTGTCCCAAGTCAGGAGCCTGTAATTCAATGGTTGTCGTTATTTCATGTGTGTCATATTTGTTTTTCATAAATTTTTTAGTTTTTAGTTACGGGTGCCTATAATTGCTTACATCCACTGTACTTAAACTCTGGTGGATAGTTGTCTCATTGGCAATCACACCACATCTAACTTTAGTTCGATTTATATGTGGTGTTTTGTATACTGCAACATTGTTTATCTTTGTACGCATATCCCTTAACCCTTTTTTCGGAAGCCCTAGCAAAAGCCCTTGATCCGCGATACAATATTTAAATATGAACTCCAATTTTAACTCGAAATCTTGGTCTAAATGAGACTCAAACTCGAAGTTCAACTCGAAACTCAATTTTAATTATGGCTTGAATTCTAAGTCAAAATCTAAAATTACTCGAAGTTTAAATCAAAGACTAACCCGAAGTTAAATTCGAACAGTAACCCGAACTTTAATTTGATCTCTAACTCGATGGATTGCCACACTCATCCGAGGCAAATAAAACAAGAAAATCGGTTTTAAAAATAGAACCAGTTTTTCCCAAATAGTCAAGTGGTTACACCTCATCAAGTAATGTAATAACCACATCATGTAGTGTAAAATCGTCAAATATTGAAACATCATTATGTAATTTTAAAGCCATATCGGGAATTGGCAAATCATCATTACGAAATAATAAAACCACATCATGTAATGAAGCAACTACATAACATTAAGCCACATACACATCAAGTAATGTTAAAACCACATTGCCTAATAACACAACCACATTAAATAATGATGAAACCACATCGAGTAATGACAAAACTATTTCAGGTCCATACGAAACCATATCATGTAATATCGAAATATCATTAAGTAATGACTATTCCATATTGAGTAATATCACAACATCATTACGTAATGTTAAAACCATATTATGTAAAGACAAAATATCATCAGGTAATAATAATATAACATAACGTAATATCAGAGTACCACATAAGACAGCTGTGGCGTTCCATACCGTTGCGTTGTGTAGTGAGTGAGAGTGTCACGCTCTCTGTACGTTACAAATCCATGCAACAACTCTTTTAAAAGAAAATTCATGAAATATTTGCCACTGGACATTAAGCAAACATCAATCAATCTATCATTCAAAACATTTTGAAACATTAGGTAAATCAAGAGTTCCAAATGGTGAAGTTGAAATCATCCCTTTGTAAATTTTACGGACGCCATCACGAGTTGGTTGACCGTTATGGAATATCCGTTTCACAGACGATATCGGATATGTTCCTGATGTCGTAACTACAATCCCGTTCCCTTTTCACGAATGTGACCTACCGAATTAGACTATTTACCCCTATTTGTGACATTTTTACCTATTGTTTTTGTTTGTTTTGTTCACACATCGTTGTCAATATAATGGAATTTGATGCGACTGTCATACAAGTGAGAGGTTTAGCTAGCTTTAAAACCAGGTTCAATCCACCATTTTCTACATAAGAAAATGCCTGTACCAAGTCAGGAATATGACAGTTGTTATCCATTCGATTGATGTGTTTGTTGTTTTTTTTTTTTTTTTTGCTATTTGATTGGGGACTTTCCTTTTTGAATTTTCCTCGGTGTTCAGTATTTTTGTGATTTTACTATTCACATAGAAATAAGTCTAATATAGTACACATTTTATCAATTTTATTAATTTTATTTTTTCCGAGTCTTGTGTCAGATATATGATCATAAGAGACTAGCAAACTGTTATTCTACGAAAAGGGGCTGGGATAGCATCCTTTTACTGTTACGATTTGCTTTTATAATGTTTAATATGAGACTCATTATTTCTTTAAGCTTTATGTGTATTCAGTTTGATATTATTCATATCCGTTTCTTTTCCAAGTGAATAATGCAGGTTAGTCGTTTGAATCGTATAGAGTTTAGTTAGTTAGCATAGTTTGCTGATTTTTTCATCTTCAAAATTGATTAGTGTATATGCAAAAGAAGAACATGAAAAAAATCGGTACATTTCAGTATATTTCGGTAAATAGACAACCCGTATTGTGAATCCATGTTAGTGTTCTTTTTAATGTAAATTTATTACATAAAAGCTGTTGTACATAACAAGAACCCTGTGATCTCACTGAAAATATAGAATGCTTAATTGGTTTTTACAGCATTGACGAATATCAATATTCGCCACATCATATTGATGTTAGTGATTCCAACAATATTAACTCTTGATAAAATTGCTTTTGCCACATATTATATCATTTCAACTTGTGTTAAGGTTGTTGAAAAGTAAGTTACAGGAATCAATGGAAAATTATTACTTTTGATAATAACGATTTTTCTGCCAAACTATTTAAGAATGGAATTAGCAAATCTATATTATTCCTGAATGCCGCGTGCTTAGCTGAGAATCAACAAAACGTCTTTGGCTTGACCTGGCCGGGTTCGAACCCACGATTTCCATGCAATCGAGGCGTATATATATTAATTTAAATAAAAAGTCATTGGTATAGACAATATAATTTAAGAATAAAAAAAACACAAAACATCACATTATTAATCAAATAGTGTTTCTGTTAGCGTTTTCAACGCATTCTTAAATTATATATATCATAGGTTTGAACGTTGTTTTCAATTTAGACTTGTTTATATTTTTTCGTTTGGGCTTGTATTATATTTGCCTTCGGGTTTATATGATCCGTTCATCCTATTTTGACTCCTCAAAATTCAAGAGTCTATCCCAAATTGAGGTAAATTATGTGGCCTTCCAATAACCGTTTCGATTCCTAACATCACTGAAGAGACATTAATTGTCGAAATCCGGATATGGTGTACAAAAAATCTTTGCACCTTTGTTTGCGGTATACCATCTTCGCCGCAAGTTTATTGTTTTCTGTTTGGTATTAAATTTAAAGTTAAGATCCATTTATTACTCCTTGTGATCCGTTTATTTGGCAATCGCCAATGGCAGTCAGCAGGATTTAAGAACATTTGTTGTTCGACCTGTTAGTCAAATGCGTTTTGTTAAAATATACTTTTTCACTTTTTTGGTCTTTTGGAAAATGTTGTTTGTGCTGTATTTAGACCCCTCTAACAAGAAATTTGTTTTGCATGCACACGTATAAAAATTGCGGTTTTTATCCAACGCAATCATAGGTTTGAACGTTGTTTTCAATTTAGACTTGTTTATATATATATATATATATATAGAAGGTATGATAAGGCAATTGTTTTGGCCTCTCAAAATCTAAATTAAAAACCATCATAAATCTATCAAATGATATCCTTTACCCAAACAGTTTTCTAAATTTCGACATGATAAGGAAATCACAAACTGATATTATATCTGCCTATTTATTAAATCATATGATGAACATTACTTTAAAAGAACTGAACAACCTTATTATTTTAGGGGTTAAATAATAGCACTTATCATGACATCTTCTTTGTGTTATTTGTGATATCTCAAATGCAATTAAGATTTGCAGTTATTAAAGTTTGTCATAACTATTTATATACAGTACATTTGCCTCCTAAATTTAATAATTCAGAGAAATGATTTTGTCGAAAAATATTATTTCCAACAAGAAACTGTTTATCGTTAAATCAAATACAGAGCCGAGTTACGTATTCCATATTTTTTAGTGACTTTTTTTATATTTTGAGTATCTGATCATATTATTTCCGTGTAACAAATACTTTGTGTACTACTTTTGGTCTCTTTGCCATAGCAGCCTTCTTAGATACCTTTTCAGGTAGTGTTAACAAATATTTCATCTGTGAACTCAACTTAATGAGATCCAATGAACAAATAAAAGACACCACTGCAATTATAACAATCAGCCCAAAAGCTCCTATGGCAATATGAGATGGTTTGTCGTAGTAAACACTTTGCTTCGATCGTTTATATCTAGAGAGGGATGTAACATCGACAGCCAGACTAGCTAAATCGTAGCTATAATTGTTCTTTCCGATACCTGTTGTGTTTCCTGTTAAGAATACTTGGTAAACATCTACAATTAAAATGCCCAAATTTTAGAAAATATATTAAGAAGATCAACTGCAACTCATTCCTAATATTTTATATAGTTTAAGATTGGGCTTACTCATAGGTAATTAATGTGCAGAATAGTTTTTGTTTATTCTTTACGTGCAACAAAGGAAAATAATTAATGTTTGGAAAACTGAATGATGGATAGTTAAGTCTGTTAAATATTGATTTAATGAAAATATGATAGGCACAATGTCAAAAGATTTCAAGTGCAGAAAGACTTCCTTAGTTGAAATATTTAAAAATTGTATGTAAACAAAAATGGAAAAGGGTGAATTGGCCCGAGATTATTATTTCGTAGTGCATTTTTTTTAGACCAAAAACGCAAATTAAAAACATCGCACCTGCTCTATCCAAAACATTTTTTTACAGTGTAGTGTACTACTTTTGGGACAAATAATATCAAAATTATAGAAATAGAAAAGTCTATCGGCTCTAACTCAAAATATGGACAATTTTATGTTTAGTGGGTCTGTAATTCAGTTTGCCTATTCTTTACTGTTTAGTCAAAGGAGCGCAGAATTGTACCTTTCTGTTGTTAATGAATGATTTACGAAATCCAAAATCAAATACTCAAATAATTTCTAACTAATCCTTCAATAATCTTATTTTACAATTTCGTTTCAAATTAATCTGCACTGATTCTAGATTGATGGACATAATATCATTATGAAAATAAAACTAATCAAATTGAAATTATTGATATGGAATTCAAAACGTTTATTGAGTCCAGAGTGTTTGATACATAACAAAGTGTATGACAATAAGTGTGTGATTGAGTTAGGTGGTGTATTCACAGTTCAGAAAATTAGATTTAAAATAAACTCTGTGTTAATTTGATAGAACACCAGCTGTTTCTACAAGAGAAGGAGGATACTGAGGTCAATATGCAATAATTTTTTTCGTCCTAGAAAATTTGTATTGGAACGAAAGAACATTTTGCATGGGTCCAATTGTAATTTCTGTAAGGAAAAAAAATATTTTGAACATGTCTGTTTTATATGTCAGTTTCTAGACAAGTTTTTATGGAAACTTATATAAACTTATAAGAACAAAAAGAGGAATACAATATGTGGACCTTCGCCCACGGTACTGTTGTGAAGAAAATCCTTTAGCGCAATAACGATTGAGAATATTTTGCCTGCATATCAAAATAAGTCGAAGGGAGAAATTTGATATGGAGAACATGAGAGATTTTCAGGATAATTACTTCTAATTACGACAAAGCAAAAATTAACCGAATTTTTGACAGAAGTACAAAAACCTATTTGTCTGCATTGGCATAGTTGTCCAATCTCTCATTTGCGTATTTAACTCAGTAGAAAATTTGGGCTTCAAAAGTCTTCAATAGTGTGGACTTTGTACATCAAATTAGCCTTTTCAAATCGTTAATACAGAAACAATACACAATTATACATAGCAAAGAGTCTTCTTGATATACTGCAAAACATCTCATTCTGATTAATTTCATGGTATTGTAATAAAGTATGTTTAAGTGAATGCAGGTGTTCCTCACAACATTTGATATACACTAAACGTAATTCGAAATCAAACATACTTAATAGATTGAAAAGACTAAATTACTAATTTGTTCTCAATACGAGCAATACGAGTGGTGCAACATGTGGAGTAGGATATGTGTACATGATAATATTACTCCCGGTTGCTTGTAGGGTTCGTGTTGCTCAGTCTTCAGTTTTTATGAAGTGATTTGTGGACTGCTGGTGGTCTTTTCGTCGTTTTTCGTTTTTTGCTATGAATTTGTCGGTCTCACTTTGAATGATGTCTTTTTCTCTCTGGGAAATTCTGCCTAATTTATACATATTTGGATGTATTCGAAACACTTTATTATGAAGTCAACACTCAATTAATTTCAAACTGAAACGTATTAATTATCTATGATACATGCATGTTAAAGTATTGTGTGTGCATTAAATAATAAAATATAATAACTAAATACAAGCATCGATTCAAGATATATATAATATAAGATAATAAGATATATAAAAAAACAGGAAAATGATTGAGACAATATGATTCATAAATTATTTTGTTATCGAAAATATTTTTGGCTTGAATGATAATATTGGAATTGAAGCTAAACAATTTGATGATTGTTTTTCAAATCAAACAGAGAAAACTTTAATTTTTCGATGTATACATCAATTTAAAATTCCTTATACAGAGTATCAATTGTATATGTTTTACAGGTTGCATAGTTTCTCAGACTATGTACAAGATAGTGATTCAAATGCATTACTTTTCCTCATGTTTTATTTCATTTTTATTTTTGCTCAAGTCTACAACAAAACTAAAATAGATATATTTTCCTTTCAAAATCAAAAAAGCTTTTGAAAGCTATGTTTATGTATTGAGGATCTAGTACCTTGGCATACTGGTACTGTACCTACCCAGGTACCAGACAGTCATACATACCTTGACACACTGGTTCTGTACCGACCCAGGTACCAGAAAGTCCACACATTCGTACTATGTTCCCTGACATGACAGCAGCACCCGCATCGCATACTGCTACAGCTTCTGATCCATAAACCTTGCCAGTTGTCTTGATTATACCTTTAGTTATGTTGTTTGGTGCTGCACATTCTATATCTGTGAAAAGTTGACAACTCATTGTTATAATATTATTTTAGTTTACCGAGGGTAATCTTGTTTTATATAACGTCGTTCATTGTTTCTAAATAAATCTACACAATACATTACAGATAAACAAGCATGTTTAGTATTGTCTATTCCCATGTTCTTCCCTGAAATTGTAATGAGAAGGTATGATGAGGTAACTGTATGTGCCCTTGGTGTCATGAATTTCTGAAGTATTTGAATTGTTTCTAACACATTTGTTCTAAGGCTTTATACTTCTTTAGTTTACAAGTAATGCAAAAGTGATAAAACAAAAATTTTCATGTTAAAACCTCAAAATAAGCCTCATTTTGATATCGTGTCACATATATTTCAATATGAGCCAAGTCCTGACCCCAAAAAATGTGTTTAGCTACAAAGACGTTTTTACAAAGAAATTAATTTATTTGCATCTTACCGAAAATTATATTTTTGGTAAAGCCTTGGCTCATAATGAATGATGCGTCCAGATTATATCAATTTATTCATTTATCAGAATTGTGAACGGCATGAAACATTTCACTGTTATGCAATTTCAAGGACCAACAGATAAAGCTAAAGTAATACCTCCTTCTCATATTCTTAGCGAAGTATATAGCAGTCGGATAGATTGGTCAATTATTTTTAAACATTTTCAAAACGTGTTTGGTTGCTTTTATCTTGTTTTTTCTTGTCTTTCATTTTACGGATGTCAAGTTGGTTCACTATTCAATATTCAACATTCAAAATTCTATTTTTTTTTATTTTTTTTTTGTTAAACATTTTTTTTTATTCGTTTTCAACATTCAACATTCAACATTCAACATTCGATTTCAACATTCAACATTCAAAAACAAATTTCTATTTTAATTTTAATTTTTTTTTTCATCATTCGATTTCAACATTGATCATTCGATTTCAACATTCAACATTCGTTTTCAACATTCAACATTCATTTTTCAACATTCGATTTCGATGTTGAATGCTGAAATCGTATGTTGAAAAACGAATGTTGAATGTTGAAATCGAATGTTGAATGTTGAAAACGAATGTTGAATGTTGAAAATAAATGTTGAATGGTGAAATCAAATGTTGAAAAACGAATGCTTCGACCTTATATTTCTCATTTCATGCTAATAAATTTTATAGCATTATTTTGAAAACAGTATGGCTTTAAAAGAAATCTTGAGAAAGAAGTAAAAGAGGGGCGAAAGATACCAGAGGGACATTCAAACTCATAACTCGAAAATAAACTGACAACGCCATGGCGTAAAAAGAAAAAGACAAACAGACACACAATAATACACAAAACACAACATAGAAAAACTAAAGACTAAGCAACACGAACCCCAACAAAAACTTGGGGTGATCTCAGGTGCTCTGGAAGAGTAATGACATTTTAAATCAAATACGTCTGGTCTTAAGGCATTGTCAAACGAGAAAGTATTTATTTATTTATTGATTCAGAAATAATCGTGAATATTCACCTTTGCAATGTGGTTGATCACCTGTCCATGTACCGTTAGCCTGGCACTCTCTTATGAGGTCACCACTCCCCAACATGTGGCCAACAACACACTGGTAAGTAACTACGTCCTTATACACATAAGTTACAACAGGAATAGACTGTACATAGGTGCTATGTACTGGATGTGAACATGTAACAGCTACAAAGACAAATCAATCAATAAATATTCATTTGAAAAATAATTTTCCTTTTTTGTATTTTACAATTTCTTGTTTTCGCTTCTTTTTCTGCAAAACATAAAAAAATGGTTTGTATAGAAACAGATGTTTTAATCATACAACATGTACAATGCATAAAAACCAAGTCAGAGGTCTTGCAAACTTCTCATTTTGCCTTTCACAATTGATAAAATAATTTACTAAACACATTAATTTTGTAAAACAATGTGCTATAGTAACGTCATAGGACTGTACCACACTAATCGACTGGAGTTAAAATAAAATCTTTATCAACAGCTTCATTCTCAAAATAGTTTCATTATTGGAATTGACTTAAACATATAATTTAAACATGGAGTCACACACCCGTTCAGTACTCCGTCCAATTATTTAATCAGACACAACCTTTGACAACTGCTTTGTTGATATGCAACCTCATATTTTTTTTATTATTGAAAATGCATGCATCTGATATAAATTCAATTGTCTTATTTCCAAATAACATTTTGAATGCCCTTATAGTAAATCTGTTTACATTAAGTTTGTACATGTGTTTATTATTCAAATCATTTAAATTCCTTCAGTGGCTCAAAATAACATTAAGTCGGAATCATGAATATAATAGTGTATGGAAAACTAAAATGTTTCGGACTACATTCTTCTTTAAGTGTCTTTTTTTACACAATTTAACAGCTTTATTGCAACCTTGCCGTGAAACATATTTTAATTCGATCTAAAGCATTTGTCTGAATACTGGTTTAAAGTTCTTGAATATACAGGGTATTTGGTATTTTACAATCTTAGGTATTTTATGACAGATATAATTTTATTACAAAACTTCTAGATACTAGTAATATTTATTATTTTGTAATGCAACGTTCATGATCTGGATGTTTAATTGGACATTTTTCATCAAGACCGAAGAAAGTGCATTGTAATCATTATTCCTAACCTCAAACATCGACCATAAATTAAACCCCAGAAGCTAAAATAAATTTTAGAAATTGGTATGGTGAGCATCTTTGACAGCCGACGATGACACAGTAGAAATCAGTAATACCAAATCTACTAAATCAGTAGACAACTACTTGATAAAAGTAAAAAGGTGAAAAGAAATTCCATCTTCCTAAACAAAACGCATTATAGGAAAGCAAATTATTCAAAAAAATATTAAAAATCTTTATATAGCTTATACATTGAGGTTTAAAACTTTCCCTATGCCTGATATTGATGTGAGGAATTGATAAGTTTATACGTTATGTCCACCATTCAATAAACAATCAATGGATAAATAGTCCAATGATGTACCACCAGAAGTAGAAACAAACAAATAAAACTGTATATCTTTAATTTGGATTCCTATTCTGTCTACTTAATACTTACGTTGACAGTCTAAAGGAGAAGTAGACCAGTTTTTATCATCCATACATTGTGCCGTTTTGACAGTTGAAATCTTATCGATATTGCTCACAAATCCTTCCTTGCAAGTGTATGTAGCAACAGAGTTATAAGATGTAGTTGTATATGTCAGCGTAGATTTCGAGCCAGTAACTGGAATGCCACAATATTTAACTGCAAAAAAACTGATTTTGTTGAAAAACAAGGGAAAGGATAAACGTTCAGTGCGATTTGTAAAAAACAATATTGAAAATAATCACGATTTATATCAACGGAACAGTTTTTTATTGCAGATTTTCATCTAAATAAATGTTGAATAAAAGGTTATCAGAGCAATATCATTCTAAAGGTCGAGAAAAGTAACTGTACAATATATTTTTCTAACATAAAGGCTCCATAAGTATTACAGTTTTATTTAAACAGTGTACCTGCACAAGACACAGGCGTACCAGTCCAAACACCATTCATCTGGCAAAATCTACTGGCACTTCCTGACATATTCTCATGTCCTGTTGCGCATGTGTAATTAGCCCAGACACCAACAACGTTACCACCAGATGTAATCCTATTTACACCTCCGTTATTTGTCGGATGACCACATGAGACTGAAATTTAAACAATTTTAGTTTATTTGCATTGATATGTTTAGCTATTGAAAAGATGAAAAATGAATTGAAAATAATAACAATGAAATAACGGCCTTGTGCAACTCCAAATTTAATCCAAGGACAGATCGTTGTACTAATAACTGGCACACGATGATCACATGATATTAACAAACAATATTTACAAAAACTCGTTTGTGTCGAGGTCATGTAATTATAAGATAGTCAGGAAAGTTGAAATAATCTTTGCCGACTTGCGGCAAACGCCCTATTTTCACAATTTGTAATATCAATGAGCCTAAAAATTGTATTGTCATTCTTTAAATCGTATGTTCATGTAGTAAAGTATTTATCGTTATCGTTAATTTCAGCAAATTTTATTGTTAACCGTCATTAAAGATACCCCATTCCATCATCAACGGAATTATATATGGTTAATAAGCATGAGTAGAAAATGTTCGCAGCAAATTGCAAGCTGACTTTAAAAGTGTTAGTCCAGTAATGGTTATTATATATTTCTGGTTCTTTCACACTGTACATATTATCATTTTGCTGCAATTTTACGATCAAATAGTATTTTTTACAGTTAAAATGGTATTCCATTTCTATTTGGAAACAGGTAAAACAGTGAACCACTGCCCCCTTATGATATCTTCGCCTTACAAATTCGGGCAACAAGATGTTGCTATGAATCTGAAAACATTTCACACAGTAAAAAATGTTCTCATTATTACTGACAAGTTTCAGGTGCTATAAGAATATGACGAATATTTTACTATATGACCATTATGTGTAATGTGTAAATATATAAGAAATCGTTAAACAGGAGGTTGATGAGCGATGATTCTGAAAACGTATTACTCAGTATACCATGCTTACATAAAACCTGATAACAAGTTTCAGAAAACTCTTATTTAAAGTTCCCTAAAGGAGTCAAAAAATACCAAAGGGATATTCAAACTCATAAGTCGAAAATAAACTGACAACGCGAAGGCTGAAAAAGAAAAAAACCAACAGACAAACAACAGTACACAAAACACAACATAGAAAACTAAGACTGAGCAACACGAACCCCTATAAAAAAAACCGGGGGTGATCTCGGGTGCTCCGGAAGGGTAAGCAGATCCTGCTCCACATGTGGCACCCGTCGTGTTGCTCATGTTAGTACAAACCCGGTAATAAGTCTAATTCGGTATGTCACATTCGGGAAAAGAGAACGGGGTTGTAGTTACGACATTAGGAAAATATCCGCTATCATCTGTGAAACGGATATTCCATAACGGTCAACCAACTCGTGATGGCGTCCGTAAAACTTACGAAGGGATGACTTCAACTTCACGACTTGGAACTCTTGGTTTAATAGCTTCCTTGTGAGCAGCAACCCTCTATCAAGGAAATCGTGATAGGAAATACAAGCCCTGGAATATCGTATAAACTTGGAGATATATACTCCGTATACAGGCGCTGCTGGAATGCTGCTTCATATAAATGGAAAGTTCACAATTGGGAAGCTGAAATCATCTCTTTTGTCGTAAAGTTTATTTTCAACAAACCCTTTTTTTCTACCCTTTTTCGTATGAAACAGGATGTGTCGTACCATGATTTTGTGGTATTACACTTAAAGAAGACTTTTGTGTTGAATAAACTGAGAGTGATTTTTTTCCTTTGTAATAATGGTTATTTGAAGCATTACTGTCAAGTTTTGTCATAATCAGTTCAATCTAGTATAATGTAAGACAACATTTACAGCAATTTGAACAAAATGTAGTATGGACCAATAAATTACCATATATGCATCTCATCATCTTCATACAACTCCAAGGGAAATTCAAAACGGAAAGTCCTTTTTAGAATGGCAAAATCAAAAGCTCAAACACATCAAACGAACGGAATACAACTGTCATATTCCTGATTTGGTATAGGCATTTCCTGATGCTGAAAATGGTGGATTAAACCTTGTTTTAGCTAGGTAAACCTCTCACTTGTATGACAGTCGCATAGAATTCCATTATATTGACAACAACGTGTGAGCAAAACAAACAGACATAGTAGGTACAAATGTCAGAAATTGGGGTACAGCAGTCAACATTGTAATATAATCTTAATCACCATAAAAACAAATCACTATTTCAAAATATAGGAAATGAGGAGAAAAAGTAAGAAAACACTCCTCAAAACGCTGAGTATGGCTTTCTCTGCCTCTAATATTCATGGTAGAGCCCTATTTCAAGGCAATTTTCTCTTAAATGTGTTTTTGAGTTTTAATCCTTTCAGAATATTTCATTTTTGCAATATTTCACTGAAATAGCATGAGATTTAAACAACTGAGAGTACATACAAGGTCAATGGTGAATGTGTAGCTTCCCATTTAGGAATAATACCACCATTGTTTTTCCCCTATTAGTCTTTGTAAAATTGGCATTTTTCAAAAAATTCATCTTCATACAAACAGTTGAATATGATGCAAATAAACTTATCATGGATACCAGGACTGAAATTTTGCTATTTGCGCCAGACACGCATTTCGTCTACAAAAGACTCATTAGTGACGCTCGAATAAAAAAATGTTAAAAAGGCCAAATAAAGTACGAAGTTGAAGAGCATTTAGGACCAAAAATTCCAAAACGTTTTGCCAAATTCAGCTAAGGTAATCTATACCTGAGGTAGAAAAATCTTAGTATTTCAAAAATTGAAAGTTTTGCAAACAGCTAATTTATAATTATGACCATATCAATGATAATTCAAGTCAACACAGAATTGCTGACTACTGGGCTGGTGATACTCCACCAGCAGTAGCATCGACCCAGTGGTTGTAAATAAACTCATCATGGATACCAGGATTGAAATTTTATATTTGCGCCAGACGCTCGTTTCGTCTACAAATGTTGACTCCAAGAAGATAAAAATTACTAAAGGACCACTTTGTCTTCATTATAAGGTCCCTTTTAGTCCATTTATACCTCTTACTTTTCCAAATTTTAATTTTTTAGGCTAATAAATCAAAATTTTGTGATAACTATCACACGTTTATGCAAGAAATGTGATGATTAATGAGTAATTGAAGTTTTCAAGCTGAATGAACTATCCCTATACTGACTCCATGAAGGTTTCTATAAGTCCTTGCGTAAAACTTAAGTTTACGCCGCCCTCCAGAGAGGGACAAAAACACAAGGTCATGTTTTTTTCTGACTGTTTATGACGTCTTTAAACTAAATCCATTGGATGTTGGATGTGTACTGATTGATAATTTAGTCTTAAATGCATGATTTTTTTTCATTAATTGTTATTGGCTTTGAACTAGCTGTCAGTAACTGCGAGTACTCTCAGATCTATGCTAAGTGTCTTTTTGTTGTTGGGATGTACAAATACCCATCCACGTCCACTTTGTGTTTATGTTGGATGTATTTCTATTTGTATTCATCTGTTGAGTTAAACCTTTACAACTGGTTTTTATAGTTTATTCTTTTGTTGTACTGTTACACCACTGACCCAGGTTAGGGGGAGGGTTAGCGCCTTCAAACTAGTTTAACACCGCCACATTCTGTCTGTAATTCAGTGGTTGTCGTTTGTTGCTGTATTTCATATTTGTTTTTCGTTAATTATTTTGTACATAAATTAGGCCGTTAGTTTTCTCGTTTGAATTGTTTTACATTTGTCATTTCGGGGCCTTTTATAGCTGACTTTGCGGTATGGACTTTGCTCATTGTTGAAGGCCGTACGGTGACCTATAGTTGTAAATTTCTGTGTCATTTGGTCTATTGTGGAGAGTTGTCTCATTGTCAATCATACCACATTATAACTGTATATTTCGTAAAGTATTACTTAGGAAAACGTTTTCTTTTAAAACACAAATTAAAAAAAAAACGAAAATACCGAACTCCAAGGGAAATTCCAAACGGAAAGTCCTTTATAAAATGGCAAAATCAAAAGCTCAAACACATCAAACGAATGGAATACAACTGTCATATTCCTGATTTGGTATAGGCATTTCCTGATGCTGAAAATAGTGGATTAAACCTTGTTTTTAGCTAGGTAAACCTCTCACTTGCATGACAGTCGCATAGAATTCCATTATATTGACAACAACGTGTGAGCAAAACAAACAGACATTGTAGGTACAAATGTCAGAAATTGGGGTACAGCAGTCAACATTGTAATATAATCTTAATTACCAGAAAAACAAATCACTACTTCAAAATATAGGAAATAAGGAGAAAAAGTAAGAAAACACTCCTCAAAACACTGAGTATGGCTTGCTCTGCGTACTAATATTCATGGTAGAGCCCTATTTCAAGGCAATTTTCTCTTAAATGTGTTTTTGAGTTTAAATCCTTTCAAAATATTTCATTTTTGCAATATTTCACTGAAATAGCATGAGATTTAAACAACTGAGAGTACATACAAGGTCAATGGTGAATGTGTAGCTTCCCATTTAGGAATAATACCACCATTGTTTCTCCCCTATTAGTCTTTGTTAAATTGGCATTTTTCAAAAAAATTGTGCAGAATTTATCTTTGTTTCAAATAAAGAACTACAAGGCATGAATAAACTTTTATCCTGTCCAGTACTACAGTGAAATGTAAAGCAAGTCGGCAAGAAGAGGAGAACAGTTGGGTATCATGGTCACGATTGTTTGTTGGAAAACATGTCCTCAAAACGTAACAAATATATTGTCAATCAAGAAGTTAAGCATCTTGATAATGTCATTAAACTCATCATAGGTACCAGGATTAAAATGTACACCAGCCGCGCGTTTCGTCTACAAAAGACTCATCAGTAACGCTCCCATCAAAACGTTTTAGAGAATTTTTTTTTGAATAAGAGTGATTTTTTTTTACAAAGTACGATTTATCCCTCCATAAGACAAGATATTTGTATCTACGTTGGCCATTCTGTTTTATGAAGCAAAGCATGACCAATTCTTTCAATTTGTCTTTTAGCTTGGAATTGGAAATACTTGTGTGAAGGGTAGAAAAGTCAACGATTTTATACTATTGCAAGAGGAAAGAGACTAAGATTGTATGTACTCT